GCGTCACAGCTCACAGCAACCTCCAACTTTTGGGCTTACGCGATTCTCTTGCCTCAAACTCCCAAGTAGCTGGAACTCTAGGTGTATGCCACAATGCCTGGCTATTTATTTGTTGCAGTTATCATTGTTGTTTAGCTGGCCTGGGCTGGGTTCAAACCTGTCACCTTTGGTGTATGTTGCTGGTGTCGTAACCACTGTGCTATAGACACCAAGCCTAGTTTTTGGTTTTGTTTTTTATTTTTTCATTTATCATTTAGGATTGTTGTAAAAGATTTTCCTTTTTTTCCAAGAAGACATTTTTGAGACCAAAACTATGTATCTATGGTCAGCTTGTAATATCTTATTTTACTTTTTAATATATCTCTATTCTATAAGAATCATCACAGTTCTTTCTTGAACTCTTCTACAGAATCTGAAGGAACTTTCTCTCTCAAACTAATTTTTTACAATTCCAGCTTGGGTCACTGTGACTTCTTCATTCTTTGGACATAAAATAATTTTTCTTTGGGGAGATAAGAAACCTGATTTCCAGACATTCATGGCCTGGCTCCACTCTACCCAACCAATTTTACTATTTTCTATACCCCAGTAAGAAAATTTCATTGTAATCAGTCCCATCTCTTCATTTCCCCCATACTCATTTTCTTTTTCTTTTCTTTCTTTCTTTTTTTTTTTTTTTTTGCAGTTTTTGGCCTTGGCCAGGTTTGAACACACCACCTCCGGTGTATGGGGGTGGCGCTCTACTCCTTGAGCCACAGGCGCTGCCCTCATTTTCCTTCTTTATTCACTTCTCCCTTTTTCTTTCTACCATCCCTAGGAGGTAGGTTTCTATGCTGACTATAAAGGAATTTTATCTCTGGATGTTTGGATAAAAAGGATGTGGGTAATAGAGTCCTGAATTTGCTGGAGAAAGGAAAGAATCACTGAACTAGGATTACTTTTCCCCCCTTCAATCCTATTCCTAAAACAGCTTAAATCTTCAGCTTTAACTGAATACCTGTTATGACCAATATAAGTGATGAGGGGACAAAAAATTAAATAAATCATGTTTCTGATCTCAAAGTAGCTAATAGATATGGAAAATTAACCAACTTAAGGTCTTTAAGATATTAAATTTTAACTTAAAACAGTGAATTCATCATAGAGGGATGATCTAAGGAAAGTATTCATTTTTTTTCAACAAATACATATTTGAATGCTTACTGTATGCTAAGCACTGATCTGGGCTCTGGAGATACATAAGAAAGAAAAACAAAACAAGACAAAAATCCATGCCATCTTGGATCTTATTCTGTTGTGGAGTGGGGATAACACATGCTAATAACAAAATAAGTAAAATATATATAGTAAGGTGGTCACACATGCTATAGAGCAAATAAAGTTAGCAAAGGGTATAGAAACTGATTCTGTGTGCTTGTGAGGATTTGGAGGGATAGATGAGTGGTTACATTCTAAATGAGATTGTCAGAGAATATTTCATTGATAAGGTAACACTGGAGTAAAGAGATGAATGAGCTTGGTAAGTTAGCAAACCTTGTAGAAATCTTGACTTAGGGAGAGACTGCATTTCAGGTGGAAGAAATAGTAAATGCAAAAATCCTGCAATAGAAATATACTTGCCATGTTTAATTAGGCCAAGTGTGATTGAAGAGAGGTGAACGAGGGTGAGAACAGTAAGAGATAAGGATAGATAAGTAGCAGAGAGCCAGGTCATGATCTTGGTGACTTTTACTTGGAGGCCATTGGAGGTTTATCTAGTTCATCAGGTTTTGGCATCTACTTTTGTTAGCTTTATAAAAGTAGTTTGAATGATTCTCTTTTTTCTACACTACCACCTGTTAATAACTGATACAATGATTAAATTTTCTTTAAAGGTTTGATAGGAACTAATCATGTAGTTATGGCTTTAAAAGATTACTTTAGGCTCGGTGCCTGTGGCTCAAGCAGCTAAGGTGCCAGCCACATACATCTTAGCTGGCAGGTGTGAATCCAGCCTGGGCCCGCCAAACAACAATGACGCTGCAACCAAAAAATAGCCAGGCATTGTGGCAGGTGCTAGTCTGGAGGCAGAAGAATCACTTGAGCCCAGGAGTGAGAGGTTGCTGTGAGCTGTGATGCCATGGCACTCTATCCAGGGTGACAGCTTGAGGCTCTGTCTCAAAATAAAATAAATAAAAGATTACTTTAGGTATGTCATTCTAGGTATGAAACAGGAGAGACCACTTCAGAGACTATTGCAGTAACTAAGAGAGAAATGATGGTGGCTTAGCCTGGCTTAGCAAAATATCTACATATATTTAGTTTTGAAGATGGATTGGATGTCAGGTATGGGGAAAAAAAGAGTCAAGAGTGATACTAAAGTTTTTGGTTGAAGCAACTCTGAAAAAGGAGTGTGTCATTTTCTGAAAAGAAGAGACCATAGGTAAAACAAATTTTGTGAGGTTGATGGGGGGAGATCAGAAGTTAGTCTGTGAACATATTAGATTTGAAATGCCTAGTATTATGTTATCCTAGTAGAGCTATTTGGTAGACAGTTGGGTGTCTGGAGTTGAGTGGAGAGATTAGAACTGGATCTTAAAATTTGGACTTCATCAGCTCATAGTTGGCATATGAAGATACAAAATTGGATGAGATTACCTAGACATTCGCTGTAGCTAGAGGAAAGAAGACATTTAACACTATTGGAGATATGAGAAATTAGCAACGAAATCATAAAAGAAAATACAGTAGAACTTCTGTAAGTTGGGAAGGAAATAGAACAAACTGGTCAACATACAGAGATGGTCAATGTAAGGAACTAGGCCTGCTATACATACATGTGGTGCATGCCTGGTCTATGAAAATTAGGTAAAATTAAGAGGTAGTCAATTATGGAGGTTCTACTGTATTGTAATATCTGATTGCAGAAAAAAAATTAAAATTCTGTTACTGCTTCTCAAACTTCTTATGCATATGTATCATCTTATTAAAGTTCAGTAGCTCTGAGATGTAGCTGAGATTCTGCTCTTTAATAAACTTCCAGATGATGCTGATGCTGCTGGTTTGATGCTGACTGCACTTTTGAATAGCAAGATTTTATATGAACAAAGAGACATAAAATGAAAAACAAGTGAAAGATGTAAGTAAGGATAGCATAATAAAAGTTAATGGCCAGAAAAAAGAGAATTTATGAATCAATAAAATGAAACAACTAAATAGAATAAGAGGGATATAGTATAGGGAATTTTCCAAAAGCTTAAGTGCTCAGCTTTCTAAGAACACAAAATTAAAACCTGATTGCCTTTTCCCCTTCAGATTGACAAAAGTTTAAAAGTTTGGTAATAGCAGATGCTGAGATTGTGGGGAAAAGGATGAATTCATACCCTTCAGATAGCTGGATATACATAGTGTATTTCATCTTTTGACACACTATTTGGGATATTTGTTAAATTTTTAAATATGCTTGTCCTTCAATTCAGGAATTCTGTACCTAGATATTAAAATGGAAACTCGAACTTCTGCCCAGAAGGATAGTTCAGAACTGTTTGTTGAAGTATTGTTTGATGTTGTAAAAAATGCACTAATCTAATAAATGAAGAGTCTTGGAACCTTTTCCTCATTTATTTCCCTTTATACATTTAAAAATTGATATCTCACATTTTTCATTGTAACTTTAAGTAGTTTTAAAAGCTAGAATTTCTAGTTTGTGTTATACTTATATTAAATACATGTTTTGGTCAAACCTTAAAACTGTAGACTTAGTTCATACTTATATTAAATACATGTTTTGGTCAAACCTTAAAACTGTAGACTTAGCTCATTCTATTTATCAAGAAAAAGTCTAATGGCTCATCTTAAAACAAACATGTTAATATGTGGCTTTGTTATAACCACTAGACTTCTGGATTCTAGGCTAGCTAGTTGGATAGATGGATAAGGCTTGAAGTCTTGCCATGATTTTGTTTCATAGACAAAATAAGGTCCTGTTCTTGATTTCCCCCGTTTTCTCGCTCTTTTTTTTTTTTAATTGTTGGAGATTCATTTAGGATACAAGAAACCAGGTTACACTGATTGCATTTGTTAGGTGAAGTCCCTCTTAGAATTGTATCTTGTCCCCAAAAGGTGTGTCACACATCGAGACCCTACACTCCGCCCTCCTTCCCTTTCTCTGCTCTCCCCCCCCCACCCCACTGTGTACTAGGTCATTGTCATTATATCAAAATTGAGTACCTAGGATTCATGCGTCTCCATTCTTGTGATGCTTTACTAAGAATAATGAGTTCTACTTCCATCCAGGTTAATACAAAGGCTGTAAAGTCTCCATCTTTTTTAATGGCTGAGTAGTATCCATGGTATACATATACCACAGCTTGTTAATCCATTCCTGAGTTGGTGGGCATTTAGGCTGTTTCCACATTTTGGTGATTGTAAACTGAGCTGTGATAAACAGTTAAGTACAAGTGTCCTTATGGTAAAAGGATTTTTTTTCTTCTGGGTAGATACCCGGTAATGGGATTGCAGGATCAAATGGGAGGTCTAGCTTGAGTTCTTTGAGGGTTCTCCATACTTCCTTCCAAAAAGGTTGTATTAGTTTGCAGTCCCACCAAGGGGATTTCCTTATTTTACTAGTCTATCTGTTAAGTGCAAAAGTACCTATTTGTTGGACTTTATGCATCTCAGAACAGTATATCTTAATATTTGAGATGGATAAGAATTTTGCCTTTGTTTTATAAAGAGGAAACATGATTTTAGAAGGAGAACTTTTAATAGTTCTTAAGCAGATCATTTAAGGAGAATACAAATAAAGTTGAGAATGTGAAAATTGATTCTTTCAAAATTATCCATGTCTACCTAACCTCTGGTTACCATTGAAGTTTGGAGACTATTGAAATAAGCAGTGTCTTGGCAGTATTATGAAATGAATGCTATACAGCCTTTGAAAAGGAGTAAAATATATATGTACCAACATGGAGAGAATTGAGACATTATTCAGTGGAAAAAAAGCAAGTGTTTAAATATTTTTATATAGTGTTTATATGTATTTATATACTTTATATATTTATGTATTTATGGTTTTTACATCAGAGAAAAGGAGTCATGGAAGGTTGCTTGCTAACCCATAAATAGCACTTAGTTTTTGAAGGGGGTGTGGGTCTAGGGAAAAGAGATTTTCATGTCTTATTTTGAGTGCTGACGTATCATTTGAATCTTTTATAGTAGAGAGTATATTACTAGTGTAGAAAAAAATTAAAGATGCTTAACAAAAAAGGGAAAAAACACTAGAACTTAAATGATTTTTAAGCTCTAAACTTTGAGGAACATTGGGAGTTACTGCAGTGTATTTGTCTACATTAAAATATTCCTAATTTATATCCTAAGTACTTTCTATTTAAATTGTTTTAAAATATTTTTTAGGTGTGGAACATCAAACAAATGATTAAGTTGACACAGGAACATATAGAGGCCCTGTTGGACAAATTTGGTGGGGAGCATAATCCACCATCTATATATCTGGAGGTAAGCTTTTGAGTATCATATCTTTATTAATTTTGGAAAGAAAGAAGTGAAGTTATAAAAGCTTTTGTACTGATAATCTTGGTTATTTTAGGGGGTAGGATTAGAAATCTATACCAGAAGAGAGAATTAGCTTTGCTTTTATTATACTTCTAAGTCTCATTTTGTTTCACTGGTTATAATAAATGTGTATTAGATTTGTAATTTGGAAAACTTCAAAACTAAGGAGGAAATCTTCTATAAATTTCAAAATATTTCTTTGATTTTAAAAAAGAGGGAGAAGATACTATTTTGAAGGTCAGAAAGCTGTAGTTACCATATTGGAAAATGGGGCAATTTTGTGTAAAATATCTTTTCTGGAATGTGTACCCCCAAAATTGATTTCTATATCCTTACAGGCAAAATTTATAATCTTTTTTTTTTTTTTCTTTTGAGACGCAGTCTCATTTTGTCACCCTTGGTAGAGTGCCATGGCATCATAACTCACAGCAGCCTCAAACTCTTGGGCTTAAGCAATTCTCTTCTTTCAGCCTCGCAAGTGGCTGGGACTACAGGCACCTGCCATAACACCCGGCTACTTTTTTTAGAGATGGGGTCTTTCACTTGTTCAGGTTAGTCTTGAACCTATGAGCTCAGGCAATCCACCTGCCTTGGCCTCCCAGGGTGTTAGGATTACAGGCGTGAGCCACCACGTCCAGCCAAAATTTAAAATCTATAAATAGTCCAACATTGTTTAGCTCCACTGTTTAATAGTGCCTTGAGGTTTGTGTAAAGCCTTAAGCATGATTGTAAATGCTTAGTTATTGTTCTTAATCATATGAGATAGTGGGTACTATTCAAATCACAGATACGCTTTCTTGGCATTGGATTCCTTGTGTAAGTCAGTCTGGTCCATAGCCAGCAAGCTGTTATAGAATCCAGATGGTCAGTGTCAACAGCCTATACTGTTCACCACTATCCTACTGGCTCAGCCATAATAATTAATCATACCAAGGAGGCTCAGCATCAGTAGCACAGTGGTTACAGCACCAGCCACATGCACTGAGGCTGGCGGGTTCGAACCCAGCTCAGGTCACATAGTTTGTGGACCTTAATAGTAGTGGACAACTGCAACAAAAAAATAGCTGGGCATAGGGTGGGCGCCTGTAGTCCCAGCTACTTGGGAGGCTAAGGCAACAGAATCACTTAAGCCCAAGAGTTCATTGAAGTTGCTGTGAATTGTGATGCCATGGCACTCTATCAAGAACAGACATAGTGAGGCTCTGTCTCAAAAAAAAAAAAATCATACCAGGGAGATAACCCTAAATTATAAGTAATCAGGTTGCCATTTGGCTCCAGATGCTGGAGGGCTTTTTTGGTTTGGGTTTTTTTTTTTTTTATTATTATTGTTTGGGATTCATTGAGGGCACAAAGAATGAGGTTACACTGATTGCATTTGTTAGATAAAGTCCCTCTTGTGTCCTGCCCCCAAAAGGTGGTGTACTCCCATCAGATGCTGGAGGTTTTTAAGCACTGATTGAAAGGCTTCTAAACTAAATTTCTAACTTAATAATCTAATTATTATTATTATTATTTTTGAGACAGAGTCTTACTATGTTACTCTTGGTAGAGTGCCATGGTGTCACAGCTCACAGCAACCTCAAACTTTTGGGCTTAAATGATTCTCTTGTCTCAGCCTCCCGAGTAGCTGGGACTACAGGCGCCTGCCACAATGCCCGGCTGTATTTTTGTTGTAGTTGTTACTGTTGTTTAGTTGGCCCGGGCTGGGTTTGAATCTGATAGCCCCCGTGTATGTGGTTGGTGTCCTAACCACTGAGCTATGGGTGCTGAGCCAATCTAATTATTTTTTAAGGGGCAAATTAAATCTTCCATATTTTATGAGAAAATAAGTTTGCAAAATAAACAGAAATAGCAGTTAATAGTTTTCTCCTTTTTCCTCTGTTTCACATGCCTTGTCTTAAATCACACTCCCAGTTATTATTAAAGCTGGACCAGAATTCTTATCTCTGAATACTAGTTCATATACTTCCTAGTATTCCATACTCTCTCTTTTATCTGTACTTCTTAGGAAGCCAAGTAGAGGAGTCATAAGGAAGCAAATAATCCTTCTGAAAATGGTAATATTTTGTTATCAGAATTAAACAGTATAACTATCAGTTTTTCCGCCCATGATTTCTATGTTTTGGGGGCAATTTCCACCATGCCCAGATATAATACATTTGCATCACTAACCATGTCTCACTATAGCAGTGATTCACCACCTCCTCCTCCCCATACACTCTCTTTAGGCTTTTTACTATTCAAAGACAGATCATTAACAATCATAACAAACCTTCAAGCTTATTATTCTTGCCCAGTACTGTGTCAAATGAATTTATTAATTTAATACTTATAATTACTTTGAACTAGAATACTAGGTACATATTTTTGCTATCCCCATTCTATAGCTGAACAGTGAGAGGTTAAGTAACTCATCTAAAGCAAACTTCCAGTAGAGAAAGAATGGAGATCTCTAACTCAGATGTCTATGCTTTTGATCACCACTTTATTCTTCATTTATCATGACATTGTCTCCAGCCCTTCCCTGCCCTCAAAGTAGCTCTTCTTATTGGGCTAAATAGTTCCAACTCCTTCAGCTATTCTTTGTCACATGGTATGCGGAACATATACTAGATATATTCTACTTGGTTAGTTACTTGTAAAATTACCCGCTCAGGCCAGGCACCGTGGCTCATGCCTATAATCCTAGCACTCTGGGAGGCCAAGGCAGGTGGATTGCTTGAGCTCATGGGTTCAAGACCAGCCTGAGCAAGACCCTGTCTCTAAAAAAAATAGCTAGGTGTTGTGGTGGGCGACTGTAGTCCCAGCTACTTGGGAGGCTGAGGCAAGAGAATTGCTTGAGCCCAGAAGTGTGAGGCTGCTGTAAGTTACGATGCTACGGCACTCTACCGGGGGCAACAAAGTGAGACTCTATCTCAGGAAAAAATAAATAACTAAATAAATAAAATTACCTACACAAAGTGGAGTCACCTATTCAAATTGAGTATAATTAGGATAATATACATCAGACCATAACTAATAAATTATATCACTAGCATGTGGTAAAGCAGATTCCCATTCTCAGGAACTAGTGCTACACATGTGTATATGAACATACACACACATGCTGTAGAAGTCAGATTAATACAGTGGTTAAGATGAACCATGGAGTCACATGGACTCCGTGTTTGAATCCCAACTGAACCTTTCTACAAAGTACCTGATCTTATTATGCCCCACCTCCTGGTAAAATAAGAATAATATCATGTGTGGCAATCTAAGGATTAATTGAGTTTATAATTACCAAATATATAGATTGAGTATATGTATACATAAAGTACCCCATATACATTAAATACCCCATAACAGATTCATTTATTTAAGATAGATTTATTGAGGCTCAGTGCTTGTAGCTCAAGCAGCTAAGGCGCCAGCCACATACACCAGAGCGGGTGGATTCAAATCCAGCCCAGCCTTCCAAACAACAATGACAACTGCAACCAAAAAAAAAGAAAAGAAAAGAAACAAAGAAAATAGCTGTGAGTATCATGGCAGTCCCAGCTACTTGGGAGGCTGAGGCAAGAGAATCGCTTAAGCCCAGGAGTTGGAGGTTGCTGTGAGTTGTGATGCCACAGCACTCTACCCAGGGCGACAGCTTGAGGCTTTGTCTCAGAAAAAAAAAAGATATATTTATTGAGTGCCTGATGGCATTTGTATTGTTCCAGAACCTAGGGAATAACAATTCTTTTTAAATGGCCAAAAGTCCCTATTGGGAGAAGGGAGGTGTATATAGTAAACAGATAAATTAATCAGAACATTGTACTTTTATCACTTATATACCATGAAGGGGACTCTGGCTAGAAATAACAGAATTCTTGCCTGGGGAAAGTTAACCCAAGGGAAGAGACCCTGTAGGTACTAATATTTGAAACCTTATTAGCAAAAAGCCAGGATTACTGATAATCCACTGAGGCCTATCATACTACAGGTGCCAATTCATCATTTAAAAGTCCTTTTTTTTTTTTTTTTGAGACAGAGCCTCAAGCTATCCCCCTGGGTAGAGTACAGTGGCATCACAGCTGACAGCAACCTCCAGTTCCTGGGCTCAAGCGATTCTCCTGCCTCAGCTTCCCAAGTAACTGGGACCACAGGCGCCCACCACCACGCCCAGCTATTTTTTTGGTTGCAGCCATCGTTGTTTGGCGGGCCCAGGCTGGATTCAAACCCGCCACCTTAGGTGTATGTGGCTGGCACCTTAGCCACTTGAGCCACAGGCACCGAGCTCATTTAAAAGTCCTTAACACTTTTTCTTTCCTATTTTTATTGTAGCAAAATGTACATAACATATAATTTACCGTTTTAACCATTTTTGAGTATACAGTTCTGTGACATTAAGCACATTTGCATTGTATAACCATTACCACCACCTATCTCCAGAACTTTTTAATCATCCCAAACTGAAATTCTGTACCCATGAAGTACTAAATTCCCATTCCCTTCTCCTCACAGTTCCTAGCAACCACCATTCTACTCTCTGTCTCTATGAATTTGACTACTCTAGGAACTTCATATTACTAGAACCATATAATAGTTATAATTTAGTGGCTTATTTCATTTAGCACATGTCTTCAATGTTTATCCGTGTTGCAACATTGATGATGCATGTTTCAAAATTTTCTTCCTGTTAAGGCTAATATTCTCTCATACACATATACCGTATTGTGTTTATCCATTCATTCATCAGTGGACGCTTACCTTCATCTTTTTGGCTATTGTCAAAAATGCTACTGTGAACATGGGCATATACATAATCTGTTTGAGTCTCTCTGCCTTTACTTCTTTTGGGTGTATATCCAGGGATAGAATTGGAGGATTATATGATAATTCTGTGATTAAGTTTTTCAGAAATTGCCATACCTTTTCCCATAGCACCTACACCATTTTACATTCCTACTGGCATTACA